CCTTTAGGGGGGCAGGGGCCCATGTGGATGGCTACCAAAAACACAAAACACACCAGTTGGGGACGGATGAAACAAGAGGCATACCCGTTTTGAACCACCCACTGGTGCAGGATGTTGGCCATACACAGCTTGGACTCCCCTTGTCAAATGGAGTTGAGCCCTTCCATAAAGACCTCAGGTTGACAGTCCCCACACACATATCCGGACCGCCGATTCAGACGCTCACCATCTTTGGTCCGACAAACAAACAAGGCGAGGCCCTCCAGTTTTGGAGGTTCGAATCAGTTGGTTCCAACTTTTTTCTGTAGTCCATTTTAGTACCAAAAAAGGGTGAGACAGGGCACTGAGAGTTGTTTGACTGGCCCCTTCTCACAAGGCCATGGGTCAAAACCCAAATCGGTTAGCCCCCAGTGAACATCCCAATCCAACCACTAAAACAGGTTCTAAAATGGGTGGTGAATTCACCTACCAACCAAAATGGGATCCCATTGGTGTTGACCCACAGCCATATGAACTAAACTTGCAAACGGAAACCATAGGGTGCGGGCAAACAAACCAACAAACATGGAAACATCTTCCTTTTCTCGCTGTCTGTTTTTCATATGGCTGTGGTTCAAAAAACCGGAATTCCAAAATGGAACCCGATCGCTAAGTGGAAACATGGGTACCAAAACCTGCGGTGCCAGCCCCTCCTGCTTGATTTCGATTGCCACACCCAAACCTGTCTTGGGATTGGTATTTACAAGGAAACCAAAAGGACAACTCCCCCTTCTTTCTGCCTGGAGTCTCCTTCTGGCCCTTAAAAAATGGTTGGTCATGACCCAAAATAATGGAAAGGGTCATGACCCACCATTTTTATTTCGGGTCCTTAGGGAGACTGGCGGTTTTCAAGGGAAACCGGCATGTCATCCATCACCCCATGGCATGTCTCTCTCTCGCACGGAACCGTCGGCTTCCGCCCCGAGGGGCTCCACCAAGAGGAAGACCATGGTCGTCAGGAGCTTACCTCAAAAAAAGCCACTCGTCCATTCCACCCGCTGAATGGGGTCCCGGGGGGGTCCCGAAGAAAGCCAAAAAAAAACAACCGGTGCCTTTTTCGGGCAAGCTCGAAGTTTCGTCCAGTTCCTCCAGATTTGAGAGGTTAGAATAAGGGTACCCGTCTTTTTTGTTGTCTATTTTAGTAGGGAAACCCTCCCAACCAAAAAAGGGGAGAGAAGGGCACTACTGGGAGACCTAGACTTGTTTCCCCAAGAGGACATGGGCAAGTTTTGGTGAGTTCCCCATGTCCCTCCCAACGGACGAAAACAACGGTACCAAAACTCATGGCCCGGACTGGTGCTCCTTAGACGTGAAAATACTGGGCTAGTTCGTGCCCAGAGCAAAAGGTCGCCATCGCAAACCTGCGGTTTCTTCGTCCTCGGGCTTCACCGTGCTATATGTGGAAACACTGTATTAGTTTGTTGCGACCTCACTAACAAAAAAAAGGAAGCAAACTACAAGACAAAGATTTGTGGGTCGTCAGAATTAAGATTTGACCCGATTTTGGACCCTGGTGGAACGTTGTACTGCCTTGTGCTGCCTTTGAAGGATCTTAAAGGGAATACCAGAAACTGGTACATTAGCCAATCTTTATTGCTTGCGACCTCCCTCTAAAAATGTTTCAACAAAGCCAGGAACCACAAAGACATGCCTGTAACAGTGAACACACGGAACATGACTAGTGGGGGGCCTGGAACATGACAGGGACCCTCTGGTGAGTTCCCTGTTATATAGTGAACGGCAGGGTAAGAAACTCATGGTGAGACTTGGCCGAGGTATCACGGGTGATACGGACCGAGACGCCCTGCATCCCAAGCACTGCTAAAATCCGCATTGGGCCTCTTAAGATTTAGGCGGTCTCAGAACCAGATACTTCTATAGGTGCGCCTTAGGTGCGTGATTCCGTGGTTGCTTCCATGGTTGCTCAGGTTCAAAACTAAAACTCATCCAACAGGAGCTCCGGCATTTTGGCGCACAGCATGACACACCCACTTGTGCCCAACATACGCTCCCTCAATGCTGCCAAGTAATTGAAAAATGCTAAAGCTTGCGATTGTCTTCCACCAGGATTGAAATTTGGACATTTCAGAAGGACACAATTCATCTGAACTCAATAGTGGAGGACATGCTAGTCATGTGATGTCAGGTGCTTAAAACTCAAGTTGCATGTGTGATGAAACCGCTGCGAGCTGTTTGCTCGTGACTGTCTTTCCAGTGACACACTCCTGACTGACGGACTCACTGTCCATAGAGTTTGCCCCTCCATCCGCAAAGGCTCCCTACGTTTCCCCTTTAACCCCGCCAAAGAGAAATTCAAGCTTAGTTGATGTTTAAGCCACCCACAATTCAAAATACCAAGACCTTGCAAACCGTGGAGCAGTGTTGCCTCGTTCCAACCATTATAACAGTCCAAGCTCGGATACCAAACAACCCGCCCATCAGGCCCCCCATCTGACGAACGGCAACAAAGGCACACACGCTTGCGGACGCTTGCTTTTGGAAGGAAGCCCATGAAAATTAAAAAGGAAAACCAGGGGCGCCACCAGGCCACCTGTGGTGCTTGAGAGAAGGTGGCACCTCGAATTTCTCGTTTACCCGTGGTGAGGATCAACTCCAATGCTCTTGGCCAGGTCTGGCCCTTTTTCCGGCCACCAGAAAGAATCCAAGAAAAACCAAGAGCACTTCAAGATCAGCTTGAAAAAGAGGGTCTTGGCGTCTTTTGACAAGTTCTCCCCCCCCCCCCAGATTCTGGCTGGCTGATTAGACACCTCCATTTTGCCAGGTGTCAGGGTTCCTTGCCCCTATGAAAAGAATGGCCTTGGTTGACACAATTTGGATGATGAAACTTTGGTAAATAATGGTTGTATTGACCCAACCTTTGTTTTACGGGTGGTTTGAAACCTAGGTCCTCCAGTGGAGAGGATAGAATAAGGGTACCAACTTTTTTCTGTAGTCTATTTTGGTAGGGGAACCCTCGCAACCAAAAAAAGGGGCGAGAAGGGGCACCTGGCTGAGGGACCTAGAAACCGTTGGGCAAGTGAGTCACAATCAAACCCCGGTCTTAAAATGATCTACCCAGAACCATGCTTCAAGAATCAAGGCGGAGTTCCGCCACTATTTCTGGCGACTGCCCCTTACTAACTCAAGTGACTCAAGTGACTCAAGTGACTCAAGTGACTCATCTACCCGAATCGGTTTTGATTGTGACTCAAGCGGTCCCGTTCAGAACCTCCGGCCCAGCAAACCCCAGCCCGCGCAAAGGCGCAGGCGATCTCCACGAGGTGGAAGCAGTTCCTCGCGTTGCTCCGCTTCGCCCGGGCCGCCCCCCTTTTTGTTTTTCGGTTGCTTCGGCGTTCCTACTGATCTAGGTCCAGTTTTGGAGGTGAGGGGTTAGGGTACCCGAACTTTTCCCTTCTTTGTCTAGTTTAGTAGAACCCTCCCAACCAAAAAAGGGGGTTTAACAGGGCACTACCTAGTGATGGTTGCAGAAATCTTTCCAGAAATCCCAACCGTTCCGAAAGCCTGGAGAGTGATACGAGTCTGATGTAACTACCAAACAGTGGTTTCCTGTGGTTCTTTCAAGCACTGTATAATGTTCTTTTGGTTGTCCTTTCTCAACACCCCAAAAAGAGGCGGTACTACGAGACATAATATCTTTGCGGGCTTGCGGGGCCAGTTAAAAACAATCTACAGCATATACTTTCATGATAATAGGAAAAGCACGTGCAATGTTAAACCCTTCTCTCAGGCGATGTTCATTGTTCAGCACAGTCTGATAAAAAGGACTTGCATCGCTTCCCCACAGAGTAATACAGAACCAATCACCCTGGTTTGTAACCTGCTTTGGGGGAGCTATTCAATTAGCAGGGGAGTACCTGCTTTGGAGCTTGGGTTCGTATTTGCAAGCTGACACTTTTTCTAAGGATTTTTTTGGGAAAGAACTGGATTTCCATTGTAATACCGATCCCTTTTCTAGTAGAGGGTCGACATCATACCATAGAAAAAGAGGGTATTTGGAGTAGGGACAATACTCACTTAATTTTGTGGATACCGAAATCCTGCACTGCACCGGTTGAGTGGTTTGTCCCACTTTTGATAGCAGGATTTCGACCATCCACTTTTTAAGGCCATAAAAACCAGAATACTGAAAAGGGCTAGGACAATGAATGGACTAGCAAGACGCAAATCTGTAGGTCCTCCTTTGCGTTGTTCCGCAAACTCAGTGGCAAGCTTCTCACGGCTACCGTCCCCTGTCCCACTTAAAATCCAGACCTGCAGCCTGCTCCCCAAAAGCAAAAACAAACCTGCGCCAACCGCCCGGACCGGTCAGGGACCCATCTGACGGGACCCGTCCCGTCTGACCGGTCTGACGGTCTGACGGTCGAGCGGCATCACCCCGGAGCTCACAAGGTGTGGCACGTCTCGTACGCAGGTCATGGAGATCTCTGCGTCGTTCCTCGAGCGGGCGAGGGGTGAGCGAGACGGACTCGCGCGCCGAGCCCGCGAGTCGCGCGGGCGCAAAAGTTTCGGAGGAAAAAAAAGGGGGTCCAAGTCGTTTGTGCCAAACAATGTTACAAACCATGCGAAACTACTGTTACAACAGAAACTACTTGGGTCCTGCTATGTTGATTCACCTTAAGTAAATGGGTATGAACAACACTCAGACAGAAAGGTCCAATTCGTTAAGGGCGATGGCGCGAAGAACATGACCTAAGGCGAACGAAGCCTTACCAAGCCTTGGCTCGGTGGGGTTTTAGACCTTCTTTGGGATTGGTCGCATGGGGATGCCGGTTGTGTGCTTTGAACCTGGATTCTCCAAATCAAAGTTGATCAAGTTGGAGAGCGCCAATAGTTTACTGGCACTGTTAGAGGTCCGAAAAAAAGAAACGTGCTCAAATTGGCCAAATGGGCTTTTGTGCAGGAAAGGCAATAGGTACCCAATCAATCTTACCGGGGCCCCCCTTTTTGTGAAGCACCGCATGTTGCCTTCTGCTTGGGCAAAGGCTTGCCTGTCGGCGCCTTGTTGCTGGTATAAGTGTTGTTCGCACCCATTTACTTAAGGATGAATCAACAAAATAGCACCCCAAGACCCCAAGTAGTTTCTGTTGTAACAGTTGTTTCGCATGGTTTGTAAGATTGTTTGGCCGAGGACTGCGACGAATCTGCAAAAAACAGTTGAAGCAAAAGGCAAACTGAACCAAACAAATGCGCATTAGCCGTGATTCCAGTTTTCAAAGTGGGTTGGAAGGAAGGCCTCCGCAAAACGACTTGACGCTTTTGTTTCCCCCCGGTTTTGACTGAGGTGTCAAAAAAAAGCCAAGAGGATACCGGCATTTTGATGTTGGGGGTTCCCTAAGTGGGTGTGGGGTACCCTCCCCCACCCCCCTCCCAAAGGAGTCCATCTCAGGCCAAACTGGGCGAGTTGCTTCTGAGGTAGGGTACTGGTGGGGTGAAGGAGGGTTGGGGAAGGGTTGATGGTAGGGGTACGCTAGGTAGGGTAGGGCAGGCTACAGGGAAAGGTCCAAAACCCATACCTTGGCAACCCAAACCCCGTGAATTTCTCGGGGCTCCAACACCCTTGGTCTACTGTCTTGCTTCAGCCTGAACCAAGAAGCTGCGAAATGAATGGCCGGTCTTCTTCAAACACACTGTCATTTTCCGCATTCTGATTGCAAACCAAGGGGTTGATTTTGAGCAGCCGCTGCTTCAGCATACCGGACAGGCTGGAGGGGCGACAAAGAAAGAAATGAAGGCAACTGGAGCTGAGCTCACACAGCTCCCCAGGCACTTCCGGGATCCCGTCGAAGGCTTCGAAGGGGTGAGTTGCGAAAATTTGCCTTGCAGGATTTGGACACCCTTAGCTGGTTTCCAGGGTCGAGGAATGCGTGAACAAGGCAAGCTCTTCTTGGGCGAAGTGGCCGGGACGACACTTGATTGACTTTTAGTGTTCCGGTCGGCGAAACTGCCGGTTCTGCTGCTAAACCCGTCATGGAACCATCGTGGCTTGGCCTTCACGCCTCCTTGTCGTCAAATCCTGTCAACCAGGGTCAGGTTTTGTTTGTTTTGATGCCAAAGCTCAGTTTGGAGCACATACTTCGCGCCCTAAAGGCTACAGCTTAACAATCAAGTGTAGCATGCCGCAGCAATACCTCAGCTTTTCCAGTGCAACTCAGAGAAGCTTACGCGGAGCGCAACTGTGAGGGGCGAGCAAAAAAAACGATGTGCTACAAAATTGCGGACTGGGACTTGCTCAGCATTTTGCAGGCTTCTTATAAGCATTGCGTGGATGTTGGATACATCAAGACAAAATTATCTGTGAAAACAGCCCGCAACAACAATGTCTCGCTCCAGATTTGCACTCATTGAGCTTGTGGAGCAAGTTGTAGCAAGGTATCCTACTTTTTCAGCGGGGCCCACGTGTTTTTTGGGGAGGGTTGGCGGGGTTTTGGGCCAGCTAAGGAAGGTTTCTCTCTCTCGTTTCGGACAGCGCCGCTAAGTCGCAAGCTGCCCAAACCGAGCAAAGGATTGGTTCGTTGGCAACCAGCTCTCGCCCGACCACTTTGGGGGGTTGGGCAGTGGGGGAAACAGGCACCAAAAGTCTTGGTTGACGTTGGAAGGCAAGCAAATATTCTCAATTTTAGCAGTTCAGCGGTTAGATTTCAACCACTAAACCACAATAAGCAACAATGTAAAATGTTTCCCAACAACAACCATGAAGTGGTGGCTCCAACTCTTTGCCGTTTGGCTTCAGGCAGTTGAGGGGTACTCATCAAATCAGAAATCAGAAAGGCAAGATGTGGAGGAGGACCATTCATCTGTGCTTTGTTTGTGGCTGTTGAGGTTGCTGGGCCAACAGAGAGCAATATTGCGTGAACTTGGATGTGTCTGATAGGCGCTTTGCAAAGGACCGGCATTGATGGACTGTCGAGCGTTTCAGTTGGGCCGTGAAAAATAGTGAAGCGTTCAACTCCAAAGCCAATTGGGTGTGTCTTTTTTGTAGGGGGACACCATCTTGGAGGGTGGTTTTACTTTTGATTTCCCTTTCAAAACAACAATACGGGGGTGCCCTCAAAGCGACACACCCAACTGCAACCAGCACTGTGCATATGAAATCCAACCAAAGTTCACCGGAGAAGCCCCTTCTTTCAGCACGCGAAAAAAGGAGTCCCGGATTGGCGCCGCCGTTACAACAGCCCAAAAGTCAAGCTCAGCTCCTCTTGCACCTGGCTGCAGTCGCCCCCACAGTCGGGACCACCCCAGGTCACAACCGCCCCAGATTCAAGAATGGCAGCAAAAGCACCGCCAGTTGCTTGAATGCACAGGACGTGCCTCAGCTGCTCTTGCACCTGGCGGCTGTCTCCGCCACTGGGACCACCCCAGGTCACAACAGACCCAGATTCAAGAATGGCCGCAAAAGCATGGCCATTTGATTGGATGTGCCGGACGTTCCTCAGCTGCTCTTGCACCTGGCTGCTGTCTCCGCCACGCTGTGGATCACCCCAGGTCACAACAGCTCCAGATTCAAGAATAGCAGCAAACGCACCGCTAGTTGCTTGGATTTCATGAACTTTCCTCAGCTGCTCTTGCACCTGGCTGCTATCTCCGCCCAGATCTGGATCACCCCAGGTCACAACAGCCCCACATTCAAGAATGGCAGCAAAAGCACCACTAAAATGATCACTTGCTGATTGGAGCCTCTCGACGTTGCTCAGTTGCTTTTGCACCTGGCTGCTGTCTCCGCCATATTGCGCATCACCCCAGGTCACAACCGCCCCAGATTCAAGAAGGGCAGCAAAGGCACCGCTAGTTGCGTGGATGTGCTGGACGTGCCTCAGCTGCTCTTGCACCTGCCGGCTGTCTCCGCCACAGTCAGCACCACCCCATGTGACAACAAACCCAGATTCAAGAATGGCGGCAAAAGCACCGCTAGTTGCTTGGATTTGCTGAACGTTCCTCAGCTGCTCTTGAACCCGGCTGCTGTCTCCGCCGAGTCGTGGAGCACCCCAGGTCACAACATCCCCAGATTCAAGAATGGCAGCGAAGGCACTACCAAAAAGACCTCTAGTTGATTGGAGCCTCTCGACGTTGCTCAATTGCTTTTGCACCCGGCTGCAGTCTCCGCCGTGTTCTGCAGGACCCCAGGTAACCACAGTCCCAGAGTCAAGAATGGCAGCAAAAGCATCGCTGCTTGCTTGGATGTGCCGGACGTTCCTCAGCTGCTCTTGCACCTGGCTGCTGTCTCCGCCGTATTGTGCACGACCCCAGGCCACAACAGCCCCAGATTCAAGAATGGCAGCAAAAGCACTGCCAGTTGCTTGGATGTGCTGGACGTTCCTCAGCTGCCCTTGCACCTTGCGGCTGTGTCCACCATCTTCACCATCCGAATGTTCTGGATTACCCCGTAGATTCCCCCACATCACAACATCGCCCCCGTGGACATGCCAAGCGAAGGCCCTACCAGTGGCCGCCAGCTTCCCAAGCTGCACAACCGCAGCCACCAAGTCCCCATCTCGCAAGCCGGCCTCGCTCAGCGTGGCCGTCAAATCGAGCTGCTGGCCTTTTGCAGTGAGCTTCAAGCGGCGCTGGAAATGCTGCTGCGCTGCGGCCTTCAGCTTGTTGATGAGAGTCGCCGGTGAGACTTCAGCGGAAAAAGCCTCTCCATTGGGCAAGCAAACATCCACCTTCATGGCGCAGAAATGGCAGTGGGTCAAAAATAGGTACCCAAAATAGAACCCTGGTAAGTGGAACCAAGGATTATAACCTGCGGTCCCCTGGTGGTTTAATTTTTGACCCATACACGAATGTTCCTCTGATGCATTCAAGTTTCCAAACGCGATCCTGAGACACGAAGGCATGTAAACTCAAGGGGACTCCCGTTCTAATGGCTTTTAAGAGGAGCCCAAGCGTTCAACCACTCATGTGGGGTCCAATCCTCCCGGCTGTCTAACCACGTTCTGATTGAAGTTCTTTTGCTGAAGCCTAAGATCCGTCAGCAACTCGATGGCGACGAATCGCCTAGATCCGCGTGCAACCGAACCTGAACAAAGGTGGCACCTTGGTGAGCCCAAATATCAGGTACATTACTTGGCCCAACCCAAAGGTAATTTGGTTGCTTCCTGCTCCCATGCTAAAAGTTTACGTTTTAGTGGTTTAATGGAACCCCAATAGTTGGCAAAAAGTTCAAGTCCTACGTAACATCCAAGCAAAATGCGCTAAAGTTTAACATCTAAGAGTCGCTGTTTTTGAAGACAACCTGGGATGAGTCTACAAATTTGAAACCCAGCGGACCCCCCACTCCCCCACACCCCCCCCCCCCCACCACACCCCTGCCCCCCCCCCCCCCCGTTTTCCCCATCCATCCATCCGAGTGGCACTTGTTGGCGCACCTCCGGCTTGAAGCTCATGAAGCGCCGGAACAAGGCGCTGATCAGCATGGTCTTCAGCCCCCCCGACAGGCCCAGCCGCGCCTCGCGAAACACTTCCGGCAACGTGCTTTCGATTTTGATTTCGCTTTCAAAAGAGTTTGCCCTGATAATAAGAGCCCTTTCAATAGAGATTGCCCTTTCAATAGAGTGGTCTCACATTATGCGGTGAAAGGGGCACCCGGAATCTGGTTTCTTTCTGGTTTCCCCCACCATCAACAAACCAGCGCAAAGTGGTGTCACCTGAAAGTTGAGAAACTATGTCCTACGTAGTGAAATCGATTCCCTTTCAAACCAGGAAGGGGGAAAAATATTCTGAAGCAAATAGAAGACAAAACAGAGAGAGAGAGAGCGGCAGAGACAGACAGAGAGAGAGAGAGGAACAGAGAGAGAAAGAGAAAGAGAGAGAGAGAGAGAGAGAGCAACCAGCAACCGACAAACCACGGATATCTTGGGAACTGGTCATTGTGGAATTTCTGAAGTGACCTTTTGTGGCCTTCGCCTCCCTAGTGTAACCATCCTCCTGTGACTGTCTCGGCCGTACATGTCTTGGCCTTCTGGCTGAATCTTTGGGCTTTGCTTTGGACGCATTTCCGACATAGGTGTCCTTTTAGTAAAATAGATGGCCATGGTAAATGAAATAAAGCCTATCTAAACCAGTGCCATCTATTTCTCGGCAAACTCACTTAAAAATGACACATGTCCGATGGCGTAAACTCATGGCTCGGGAACACCGAGACGCAGAGAGGTGCACAGCCGCCCTGCAAATCACCAGCCGTAAAGCACTCAAGGTGGGAACATGTCGTGACTTGGGGGCCTTGAAAGGGCTGACTACATCCATCCATTTGCTCAAAATGGAAAACATGACATCCACCTGGAAAGCCGTATGGCCATTTTTTTTTTTTGGAGGAACCTGAATTTGGATCTGTTTTCCCGTATGGTCAGGTTTTTGCTGGCTTGTGGCCGTATCTGGCCGCATGCAGCCCGTACAAAAAGCCGTAAATGACCGTATGGCAATTGTTTGTCGCCCAAGCCGTATGGACAGAAATAAACGTCACATATGGTTTCTTGGCAGTAGTGAGAGATTCCCTTTAAAATCAACAGGGAAGAAACCTCTTCTTAAGCACATGGAAGCATCTAACACGGCTCGCGCTATCTCGCTTCGGGGACTGGCAAAAGAAGAGAAACCCAGCGCAAAGACTCAAAGCGATCTCGGTGACTTGTACCGTTTCTTTTTTGGGGGGAGGGTTCCCCTGCTAAAATAGACTACAGAAAAAATGGGTACCCTTATTCTAACCTCTGCTGGAGGACCTAGTCTTCCTAAGCCTCTGTTTGGTTTGGGCTTTACCACACCCAGTTTGGCCTGTTAAAGAGGGGCTACGTACCTGCAGGGTGCCCGAGTCCGCTCCTGAGAAAATCTGTCCCCAACCCTACGTCAGGTAAAACACCTCCTTGGTTCACCAAGGGTGCCCCCTGCAAAGGGCTTCTGCACTAGTCACTAGAGGGAGGGGCCTTCACGACAAACTGTTGCGGACACCCTCCACAAATATCTCTTTCCGCGCTCTGGCAACCGCTTTCAAACCGGCCAAACCGGCCAAAGACATCCTCGCAGCAGGCGGGTCCAAGTCTCGACGGGGATCATTTAACATACGCTAGGTACTTGGATGCGTAGCTATGCGCTCCGCACCTTTCTGATTTTGCCCCAGTGGAGATCCGGTGCCAAGGATTGAGGCCATTCCAAATCTTCGCCCCAAACTCAGATGGAAGCGGTTCAGGGGGTCCCTCAAACAGAAATTTCACATGGCCTCCTGGGTTCCATTGAATTTGCAAGGGAGTACTAATTGACATACCTACACAGTCCAACAGAGGCATGCACCTCAATGCAGTGAGACATCATGGTATGCTCAATCAAGCAAACGTTTTGCCCGAACAGATGGCTGTGGGTCCCCTGGGTGGTGCACCTACCCCAAAAGGGTACCAGTGGTTTTGACACCCACGGCCATATCCGTAGGTGCCACAAGAGCGAAGACGAGATTCCGAGATATCGGAGCCGCACCTGGATCAGGTCCAAAATATGGAGGATCCCGAAGGGAATGATGTACATCCTCAACCCAAGGCTGGGGCCAACAACAACAAAACATGGAACAAGAACCATCCCGGTGCATGGAAGCTGAAGGACTCACTGGCTGAGTGGATGGCGAACAAAAAGTCCAAACTCTATATTTACCACTAAAATGGTCTTCCCAAAAAGTTTAAAGTTCATGAACTCAGGAAGTAAGAGGAAGAATTCGGTACTCAAATGCCTGTTCACTGGAAAGCGGGTAATCCAAATCGCTGAAACCAGGATCCAAGGAAGGAGCCTTCATCAGGTTCAAACTTTCTGGAGGCGCAAGAGTGGGAAGGTCGCTGCAAAGCGATGGATCTACCTAGGTGGCCACCTCGTGTAAAATCCCTGGATAGTGCTTATCCCATTTGAGTCACAATGAAAACCCGGTACCAAAATGGGCTACCCAGGACCATGTACGGAATTAAGAAGGCGGCCGCAGCTATTTGTGGTTGGGTTGTCCCTTACCAACCTTCATCTACCCGAAATTTGATTGTGGCTCATTTGATCACGATACGAACCGTGGTGAAAGAAGTTGACATGGCTGCCGCTGACTTTCAACACAAGTACGTCAAAAAGAAATAGACACGCGCGCTTTTGCGGTCAGACTCCAGAGATACTGGTGGGACAGCGTGCCTGTTTTCGGGATGACAGACCAGTGACAACCCTAGGGCACATGACGCTTTGGTCCCAAACAAGGACCCTCCCCCCACAGTTTCATACCTCATACCCTCCAGCAAGGTGCCATCTACATGCTGCGGGTCAGCTTCTTGCGATACAATCATGGAAACTGACAGGAGGCTACAGAGGACTTTCCTTCTGGGCCACCTTCCTATCCTCTTCCAAAGGGCTTTCTCTGAAAGCCGTGGTGCCAAAAAATCGGATCGGATGAATCCCAAAATGCACCGAGCCAACCGCAGCCCGGTATGCAAGACGTGTATTCTCCAAATCGATGACTTTCCTTCACAGGGCAACTGGGCATAGTTGTGGGTCCAAAATGACATCCTCAAAATAACCCCGGAATGCAGATGTCTTCCCCCCCCAAGCAAACATTTAATCCCATTTATATTTTCATATCTTGTCATGTTGTCTCATAAGGGGCACTTAGCTTTGTCCCCTCCCAACGCAAAGGCCTTGTCAAATCTTTCGTCTTGAAAGCCCCCTCAACGATCAATTTCTTTACTAGGTCCTCCAGTAGAGAGGTCAGAATAAGGGTACCCTTTTTTCTGTAGTCTATTGTAGTAGGGGAACACTCCCCCAAAAAAGAAACGGTAAAAGGGGCCCACTGGAAAACCTAGTAGGGGATGACTAAACAAGGCCGATATCAACCACAAAGGAATCTCCCACTTTGAGGACACGCTTACTCCTTGCCAATTTGAGGACAGTTTACATACGCTTTGCCAACACCAAACAGTTGATTGTGTCACCGCCCACCTGCGAGTCTGCGAGCAGATCCCCCCCCATTGCCGCTGTTTCTGGGTTCCCTGGATAATGGAACCCGAGAATCAGTCCCAGACTTCTCCCGCAACTCAATCCCATGCCTAAATCCAGCAACAAATGAAGTGTTGAACGCTTTTAAGTCCTGTTGCCACCGTTTGGGGTGCGGATCACATGAAGGCGGGTCGCAAACCATGTGTCAAAATCCCCCCCCCCCCCAAAGACAAGAACGAGTTCCTTTCGCGTGCCGAGCCCCCCAAACAAAAAAACATCCCCGACGGCTTGCGTGCTGAGAGGCATGCCGACCACCGCGGCGGTGGCCTGCAAGTTTCCTGCGCTCGCTCCCGACTCCCGACCGCGCAAAGCCGTGTTTGCTCGAGGGGATGGGCATCGGTGACATGGACATGGGTCAAAATCCAAATCGGTTAGCCCCCAGTCTACATCCCAATCCAACCACTAACATAGGTTCTAAAATGGGTGGTGAATTCACCTTCCCCAAAATGGGATCCCATTGGTTTTGACCCACAGCCACATGTTCTGGCGGATTCTTCGACCTCCGCTTCACAACCCTCGGTGTAGCACGATTCAACGGACTGGTGTTTGCAGCCTCTACTTAAAATGAGCAGGACCGAAACCTAAAAAACTAAACACAGGATCCAACAATGAGGCTCCAACCAGAAGAAACGGACTCGCGCCCGACGGGCCAAACCGATGAAGGACTCGGAAAGCCAAGAGGGATATATTGGGTTGGCTCCTCGCTTCTTGGAGTTGTGGCCCCCGTTGTTTGTGTGTTAAGAAAAAAGGACAACTAAGCCGTTTTGTGGGTACAACCTTGAACAAGACACACCTAGAAAGGGCCCATGAAACATCCCGGCACCGGAGAAGAGCAACCCAAAGACCTAAGGTTTGATTTGCTTAGCCGCGCCAGAGGCGCTCCAAGCGATAACAGAGGTCAACTCACAACTAGAAAACGGGACTGTCTTTTTTAGAGGAACCCTCCAAAACGGTGGTTTTGCTTGTTGGTTTCCATTTTTTGGGGCACGAACAAGGGGGCACCCTCAAAAAACAGACCCAAACTGGCTTGCGTTTGCAACGAATCTCTACCAACCAAAAGTCCACAGATATCGAACGCCAACCTTTTTGATGACCTTCCCAAGGAAGTCGTGTGTGCTTCTTTGAGGGTTCCTTTTTTGGGGGTGACTTAAACGTGATAAAGGGGACCATACCAGCTTTCCAACCCTTGACCCTGGTATTCAAACCAGAATAACTTTGGGGCTTATATCTTTTCCATTTAGTCCATCCAAGTTTGGTCAACCATTACAAGCTTGACGCTCGGGCCAACTTTTGCGCGGCTTGCCATGGCTTTTGGGACGCGGGTCAGGTCCCCTGTCCTGGCACCAGCAGATCATTGCCGAAGAGGCCGCCGTTGTTGTTGAGCCGATCCACTCCCTCGATGAGACGACGCTCCGTGACGCCTTCGTCCGCCGAAGCGGCCTGGCGCAAACCGCGCGCTCTGCCCCGGAAGTCTGGGTGGAAACCTCGTGGTTTGAAAGGTACCCCCTACTTGAAACAATGTGATATTTAGCATCCAGACTCCCGCTTCCCAAAAATAATTTGAATTGGACAGGAGGCCATTCTAAGATGTTCTTCCAAGACCCTTAAATCGTCCACTTTCAGGACATCGAAAAGTGGCTAAACAAATGCGAGAGCTTCCTGAAATAGGAGCTTTTCAACCACATGTGTTTGTAGACACCGTTGTTGGGCCCATAGTCAATTGCCTGCCCCAATGAAGATCCTCGACAAAGAGAACCTCAGGTTGTTGTTGTCCTATGAGGCTGGCACCACATGCTGATTCAGAGCCACAGCAGCGGGCCCATTGCAACCTGATAGTGACTAGCGACATAACCCTCGCGTGTCTTTAAACATCAACTTTTCGAGCCTGGATCGCTGTTGCAAAGCAACCCTTTCTTGCAGGTATATCTATCCGGTCACGGTCATAGCGGCCTATGGTAAGTTGGTCTCAAGCTTGGGGCATGTGTGGGTCCGCCGATTTCGCCACGATCCGGCGTGACAATGGGTGAATTCCATTTCGCCTGGAGCGTGTCGCTGGCATGCTGGGATTCGCCGGCGGCTTTGGCCAACAAGATGTTGATGAGGTATACCTTGAGGTAAGTGGTCCTCAGTGCATTGGTTGCTGGCGCTGACATGCTTATCTCGATGCAAAGGCTTTGAAATTGGTAGAATGGTCGTTTGGCCGAAGTGAGCGCTTTGCGCTTTCAAAGGCAGCCAAAGGGGAACCGCTTTGAGTTTTGAGGGATGGGGCATGGCCGACTTTCAGCCATACCCGCCTTCAGCCCAACGAGTCCTGCGCGGAGGTGCCACCAACGACCCTGAAAAAAAAAGTATTCAGTAGGGAGTCGTTTGCCTATCTTTGGAAATGAAAAGGCGATCGCCTTTGTGTGACCGCCGGGCCAAAACAGGAACCCAAAGGTCAAAAGGGCCGATTCGCTTTGGGCAAGTGAGATTCGGGCAGACGAGCACCACTTCCTGGATCTGGATGCTTGGCACGTGGTGGCTGTTCCAAAATTCCAAGTTCCTTTGCCTCCAAACGGCCATTCTTTGCGAAACAACAAACTACTCTCGCGAATCTTTCGCGCATTCATCGCGGCGCACTTCTCATTGCTAGAGTCAAACGCAACTTTCCGGTACCAAGTTCGTACATGAAATGCAACATTGTAGTATACGTCTAGTACGCGATTTACACTTCCGCAGCTCCAGCTCGAAAATCGCAACTTTGTAGTTCAAGTCTAATTAGTACGCGAAACTCACTTCCGCAGCTCCAGCTCGAAAATCGCAACGTTGTACCTGGAAACCCATGTGTGACTTTTTGTTTTTTCTGTCCATACGGCTTGGGCCACAAGAAAATGACCATACGGTCATTTACGGTTTTTAGTCAACAATTTGTTGAACAAATACGGGTTGCGTACGGCCAAATACGGCCACCGGCCTGCAAAAAATGATATGTAAAAAACGATCCAAATATGGGTTCCGTCCAAAAAAATGGCCATACGGCTTTCCAGGTAGTACAAGCCTGGCGCCCCGTATGGCCGGTTTCAACGGCCGGTTTCAACACCCCGTAAAAAGGCCGTAAAAAACCTCCGTGTTTAAACGGCCTCCGTATCTCAGGCCTTTGGACTCCCTGGGATATCTCATTGATTTACAAGATGTCAATTACACAAAACTTTCGCGACAAAAACAAAACACACTTTCGCAACTCAATCGCGAATCTTCCGCGGAGGTATCTCAACCAATGGTCACCGAATACTAAACTCTTTACAAGGACCTTTGGAACGACTCCCACATCTGCAAATGCGGAAAAGGAATGAACCGGGGCAACATAGCGCGCCAGCCATGTGGCCATGGGTCAAAATCCCGTACCCCAAGTGACCATCCCAATCCCCACCAAAAAAAACACTAAAATGGGCGGTGCACCTACCCCAAAATGGTACCATTGGTTTTGACCCACAGCCATGTGAATCGACCTGTCACTTTGCTCGCTTCAACTTGGTGGCCATGCTCGGCCAAGCCCACCGTCCAATCAGCTGGCGGTGTTTTCAGAGCAGACCCCAAAAAAGCGGCTTGACAAATGACACTCCTCCAGCAATTAGAGGTTTCGGTACCCTTTTTTCCGCAGTCTATTTTAGTATGGGAACCCTCCCCCAAAAAAGGGTAAAAGGGCCCTACTGGGGGACCTAGGACACAAAAGGAGAGTTCACAACTGCAGACCAAATGCAAACACCCAAATGACAAGGCAAACAAAAAGGCTGGCCCAGCTGAACCGATCCAACGCCGTGTCTATTGTTTGTTTTTGAGGGTGACCTTGCTTAGCTTGGATGAATGGGAAACCAACAAATCCAAATCCCCAGTTACGTGACCCCAAAGGAGCAAACTGAGTGGTATCCCAGGTTGAGGAAATGCTCGGCAAATGATTTACTGAGGAATCGAGCCATAGATCAAGAGCAATAGATCCATGTTCCAGAGACCCCTTGCAGGATCCAACCTCATGTTGAGCTCAAGCCTCGTCTAAGAAAAAAAACCTCTTGTGAATGGCCTTGGTTTTGAATGGAGTAGGGGTTGCGCTTGATTTGCCAGTATGTTTGATTGTCAAGTATCCGAGTCCCCAAAGTGCTGCTTGCGATGCCTGATAAGTGTGTGTGTGTGTGTGTGTGTGTGTGTGTGTGTGTGTGTGTGTGTGTGTGTGTGTGTGTGTGTGTGTGTGTGTGTGTGTGTGTGTGTGTGTGTGTGTGTGTGTGTGTGTGTGTGTGTGTGTGTGTGTGTGTGTGTGTGTGTGTGTGTGTGTGTGTGTGTGTGTGTGTGTGTGTGTGTGTGTGTGTGTGTGTGTGTGTGTGTGTGTGTGTGTGTGTGTGTGTGTGTGTGTGTGTGTGTCTGTGTCTGTGTCTGTGTCTGTGTCTGTGTCTGTGTCTGTGTCTGTGTCTGTGTCTGTGTCTGTGTCTGTGTGTGTGTGTGTCTGTGTGTGTGTCTGTGTGTGTCTGTGTGTGTCTGTGTGTGTCTGTGTGTGTCTGTGTGTGTCTGTGTGTGTCTGTGTGTGTCTGTGTGTGTCTGTGTGTGTCTGTGTGTGTCTGTGTGTGTCTGTGTGTGTCTGTGTGTGTCTCTGTGTGTCTGTGTGTCTGTGTGTCTGTGTGTCTGTGTGTCTGTGTGTCTGTGTGTCTGTGTGTCTGTGTGCCTGCCAAAATACGGACCCAAAACATGTGGTTTTCCCTTGGCTGCCCTTCAAAACCGGGTAGCCTCAAAAACAAACACACACACACACACACACATCTAAGGACAGCAGCAAACATGGAAAATATTCAGGAACGCTCTTGGAGGCGGTTTGAACAAGAAACCTGCTTCAGAGATCAAACAAAAGAGGTGTTGTATTCAGAAACGCTCCCAAAAACCAACAGGCAGTGGTCAACGCTTGGTCCGGTAAGGCCAAGTTGTTTGGAGCTGCAGCCAAAGAGCAGCAAAAAGTACACGTTGTGCATCAAGGAGATTGCGACCTGAAGTGAACCAAAGCTGCCCTTGGAGCCCCCATTTGGATTTGAGGGTGACATTGGAACGGCAACGAAGTGGCAAACATCTATACAAACAGCCATTGCCGTTGTTGACTCAGTTGCTGAAAAAATTGGAACCTGCCGCAAATTAGCATGGAACCCCAAAAAGTTTCCACATTTCAGGCAGTTTCCTGAGAGGAACCTCCAAATTAGCATGAAACTGCCAGGAACCCAAAAAGGAGGTCCCCAAAACAAAGATTCCTCTCCAAACTCCAAACCATGGATTGTTGGGTTCCATGTGGAGCGGCAGGAAAGCAGCCCCTCTCGACAATGCCCACCCAAAACCAATTCCGCAGTCCCAAAACTACAACCACACGGTCACCGGGCCGGCAAGTAGCATAGCCGGTTTAGAGGGGCGAAGCAAAAGGGACACTGCGATGGACTTGGGATATGAGTTCCTCTCAAGTAAAGAGCTGCTGCCAATAGTTAAATCTTGATTCAAATGCTGATACTATATAAAGCCTCAGTATGGTACGGTCACCAGTAGCGTCAGTAGCCATGTCTTGGAATGAATCTATTTCATTAACAGCCTGCTGAAATTTGCAGCGCCCGTGCAAGTGCAAGTTTTCAGGCACTCGGCCCAGCGACAAAAATGAGCAGCACTTGATGCAGTCTTCTAGATTCCAGGTAAGGGTCTTCGGCCTGTGCCAACTTTTGCAACTGGTCTAACAGCAAGCCCCAGGTTTTACCCGACACGGCATCTTCGGACAGTGCGCTGATTCCTGTGGAATGCATAGACACTTCTTTTAAGTCTAGCAGTAGCCAACAACTTAAATTCAGAATGGAAGAGTGGTCCTCAGCAATGCTACCACCAGCACTGGCGTCGCCGGCAAAGGCAGCAAGCACTGGCGATTCAGCTGCTCAAAACAGGACGCCGACAAAACCTCCCGGCGCAAAGTCGGAGACCGTGCATGTCAAAGCCACATGGAAGAATGTTCTGGGGGGAGGTGCCCCACCACAGGCATGGTTGCAGCATGGTCGGCGCCAGCAACACATCGATGGACCGCATCCTGCAAGTGTGCTAGACTGCAGACCCCGCTGTTCACATGGCCAGCAAACCAGGAAATGAAACGCAAGCTCCAGGCCAGGGGAAGACTGCTACGGGCCGCGTCACTGGCAACAGCGTGAGCAGCCTTAGCATGCGCCCTCCAGCACCACCAGCAAGCATTCGCTGACGCGAACAAACCTACGCCAGCGCAAACCTAAAACCAACAGGTGGAAACACTTGCTCTCCTGCGGGCAATGCAATGAACCCGACATGCTGCAAACCCAACTGCAAAGCAGCTACAAACAGTATGCGCCCACGGCGACGACAAAGTGACGGAAGCAAAGTGCCACGCATCCAGCAGCGCAAAAGTTTCCCACCCGAAGCCGTGCGCGATCCCACTGCCATCACCAGGCATCACAAGCACCAATAGCATCATCCGCAGGTAAGATCGCCCAGCTCGGCTGGCGGTCACGGCTAAGCAAGAACCGCTCTGCAAATCTTCGGGGGACTCTGCCCCTGCCAGCTTCCCATTATGAGACGCCAACGTCTATCGACCTAAAGATGTCCTCCAGTAAAGAGGTTGCGTAGAATAAGGGTACCCCTTTTTCTGTAGTCTGTGTCAGTAGAAAAACCCTCCCCCCCAAAAAAGTTGATACAAGTTGGCACCTAGCTGGGGCACCTAGTCTTCGTGTTCTCCGGCTCGCGCAAAAAAAAAACAGGAGAAAAAGAAAAACACCCAGCGCCAGCACCGATCATCCGTCTGAGCGGCCGAAAGCGCGGACTTCCACGGAACCCCCGGCTGGTGCCAGCAGAGCTTCAAGAAGCTGCTGGCGAATCTCCTGGCGCGGGATCCCTCGATGCCGGGGCCGGATGCCGCGCCCGCGGGCATGGAAGTT